CATAAACAAGAAATCAAAAGTTCAAAACGTTCAACAGGTTATATTTGAAGAAAATAACAAATGGATACAGGGAAATGAAAAGTATAAAAATATATTATAAAGTTACAGGGTAATCATATTTAATTTCCTGAAAGGTGGTACTAGCAAGCAGCTAATATAGTAAATGACAAAATTCCATTGATAGATATTGTTCAATCTGCACATAGCTGTTGTTGCAATGTTTTGTAATTAGGTTAACTAGTTGGCTCAATAAAACCTTGTCCTAACGATGGCCATTAATATGGCAGTTCTCTATAGATGTTGTCCAATATCTGAACCACATAATATATCATCCAAAGGAGTTAGACGCAAGTAAGTAGTTTTCCAGAGGTTCAGCTATAGTTACAGATCAGCATCAATAATTTTCAGTACAAAGGAACTAAAGTTGAAGAATTTTTCCACATATACTGTTCCAGATTTAGACACAGGAAACTCAATTACTAGAGTGGAGAGAAACAGGATTTCCATCATGCAAAACTCATGGTCAACTTCAAAGCATGCACAAGGTATCCATACTTACCATCAACCAGTAGTATATCTCCAACCTCCACATCATTAACAAAATCATCATAATTTACACTAACTGTGTCATTTGTGCGGACCCCTCTTTTAATAGTGAAATTGAATTCTTGGCCCTCTTGAAGTACAATTGGTTGAGGAACATCTCCACTTCTAACTTCAGGACCCTGTGAAGAAAATTCATTAGTGAATCTGCTGTAACTTTAGAACTTATATGCAACATACAAGAATTCAAAAGGCACCAAGCAGATTGTGTAAACGAAAGTATGTTGTATGACCTGAAAATGTTAAGCAAGAAAGATAGACCCCAAGTATTCAAGTACTATTAATATTAACACAAGTGATGTGCAAAGACTATTTCAGGAAGTCAAGCAATTTGGAACTGCTCTCAATAAGGAATTTCATATTAACAGTCAAATTTTTCATAAGAAAAACTAAGAGTGTCATTTACAAGAGTAATCCACCAAACAATAAGATGACAATCAGCATAGACCAGTTTTGGCCTACATCTGATGGTTAAAACACTGGATAGAGAAAGTTGAAAATTCTAAAAGAATATTACCTTGGTGTCAAGCATTATAGCTATAGCCTTATCTTCAAACTGAGCATTGTATTCTTTTACCAAATCAATGGTTTTCTGGTGCGATGCATGGTCTCCATGTGACATATTTAAGCGTGCCACATTCATTCCCCCTTCAGCCAGTTTCCATATCATTTCACGTGAGCTGGTAGAAGGACCTATCGTACAAACAATCTTAGTTTTTCTGAGTAGATTTAAATTTGCCTCTGCTAGCCCTGAAGCAAAGCTACTAGGCTTCAGCTCAAATGAAGAATTTGTCTGGTCCTTCCACATCAAAGAGAGAGCACACATATAGAATCCAAATTAGATATTGCAAATGTACATATTACACTAGAAAGTGGCAATTTGTAAGGTTCAAAAGTTCAACGTATCTTTCCAGATAAGCAACTGCAAAACCTCTCCATACACAATTTTCATGTTTTTTTTTTAATCAATTTTACAGAGACCATATTGAGCATTACAAAACATTTCATGAGAAGTTTCAGGTTTGTGTCTCCTAAGCATGAGCATCGAACACTTCCCAAATTAAGGCGGAGAGAAGTTCCCGAACAATGCCCCCCGCAGGTCCTACTAAAGTATAAATACCCAAAACTTGTGATGAATCAGTCATTTACATATTTCACAACAACTCTGTTCGGTCCCGAAGATTACTCTGCCTTTCTGTTCTACCAGACAATTAAAAAATAGATATATAAATCTACTAGTTGTAGGCTATGCCACGCCAAGACTTCAAGGTTGGTGGTGCATCGTCCTGAACAAGCGTGAAACAGAGACACTCAATTTGATAAGAAGTACTCTTAAAACGGTCGACCAAATTACAATACTGACACTTATATGGATGCTGTTTTAACCTCTAGAGAGTTATAAACATACCAGATACATCTTAGATGCATATTTAGTTGATTTAATCCATCGATATCGATACTTGAGTATCTATTTGATAATTGTATTTTTACGCACAAATGTCTTCCATCTATTTCAATTTTGCCGTTGTTGAGACCATGCTCCATGTATGTTAGATATGCCCATCGATATTTTGGGGATAGAGGCAGTGCATCAGGAACATAATATGTGGTTCATTAAGTGAAGCTCTTGCCCGAGCTTTTTCATTACTCCATACGAGAAACTCGATATCTTACGTTCTAAGGACCTCACCTCGCGCGCCAACGGTGCAAAACAACGCACAGAGAGCATCCAAGCCAAGAAGCGAAAAAGAACCTTCGTCATAACTAGAAGCAGAAGTAAACTTACAACGGTCGCATAACCATTGGGAGACTTGATTTCGCTGTTTTGGCCATGCTCGACGATCTTCATCGAGGGCACAGCGAAAGCTTGCCGCCGGATGCATTTTCTCCTGGGGTTAGAATCAAATACAAGCTGGCCCAGATATTTGGAAGTCCAGAGATCAGAATGCCTAGAGGGGTCCGACTTCAGCATGGAGAATCCAGATGGAAGACTAGAGGTTGCCATCGTCGAGACTTGAGAGGTAAGCACTGAAATGGAGAGAACGGAAATGTCACGGGAAACAGAGGCAGGCAACGAGTATAATGGAGCCAAGCTCCGGAAGGGGCCACAGCGTGCGTTCTGTGGTTAACTGAGAGCGAGCACTTGGACGAGAGGAAATATCGTTTGCGTTGCGCTTTTTCGACCCTGTCACATATTCTAGCGGGATATTTCTAGTATTCTCTTCTTTATTTTTACAGCATTTCCAGTGTTTGCTTCTCAAATTTCCTTTTAATAATTTCATTAATCAGTCTTCTTCTGAAGTTACGTTCCCGCGTGAGCCAGGAACACGAGTCATGCCTCGGACTCGCACACAAATCCCGGCCGTACTCATGGAGGTTAGGACTGAGGGAAAGGCAACCGTCAGAAGGACAGAAACCCCCTTTCTGTTGTTTCCTTTAACAAACTCTCCTTTCGGTTATTGTTGAATGCTATGGCCTTTTTGGTTATTTTTTTCCAAAAAAAAAAAAAAACAAAGGTGCCCTTCATCTGAAATTGATCTGTCATAAATTGATAATATGACTAGCTTCTAATGAAAGAGATTAATCCTTCTTGACGAACTAAAATTTAGTTCCCCTTAAAAGAGGCGTTTACATTTTATACTTTACGCGTAGAAAAAAAATTATAAGTTGATAATTATATAAGATTACAAATATTAATTTTAAAATTAACAAAAGCTTCTACCACTCGCACTAATTTAAATTGTTAAACTTTTATTATCTTAATTTTAGAAAAACTTAAACATGTATAAGTTAGAAGATAGGAAATTTATAATTAATTTTCTGAGTGACAAATTGACAATTGATTTCAGAATTATTATTAAAATTCAATATCGTATAATTTTTCATGTCTAAATTTTAAATTTTGATTTTTTTTTCTTGACTAAAACTCATTGATGCATGTTAAAATCATCAGTCATTTCATAGTGAAAAAGAAGACGAATAAGAAATTGTGAAGTTAAAAATACACAAATTTGTCTTTGGAGATCACACAAGATAATCATTCAGCCGAGATCAAAGATCCCGTTTGGTACGAAGCATTGAAAATGAGGGATTGAGATTGAGATTACAGTTGGAAAAAATTATTAAAATAATATTTAGTATGAGTAATTGCTTATTATGTGGATTAGACAATCCCACATACGTAGGTTTGACTAATCTCATATAACAAGCAATCTCTTATACTAAACACTCTTTTAATAAATTTTCTTAATTACAATTCCAATCTCAATTTCTTATTTTTAATACTTCCTACCAAGCGCAACCAAAGGAGCGTACTGGAAGGGTATAAAGATTGACTCATTTGCCTTGTGCGTTGTACATGCAACTAGCATTGTCTTCATTATCGTTATAGGTCAGTTAATCACTACAACTCGTATCGGCATTCGCGTCTTTTGCTTCTATAAGAGAGGAGAGGAGTGCATTTTGGTCCTTTAATGAGAGTCCTGTGAAACTCTTGGGTAAGAAAGTCACATCCATCGATTTTGAGGGAAGCTGAATTTCTTTAACATTATGGGTCTAACACACCATATGAGCCGAAAGGTGCCTTGTGAACTCGTTTTTTATTTTCATGCTATTTGATTTTCATGTACGGAGCTATGACCTAAACAGTCACAGCTCTATTCACTAAAACAATACTTAAACTTTTTCCCAAGCACTACTTTAAAGTTTAAATTCAGTCTTCTTTTTTCCGTCGCTTTACTTATTGCGGCTGTCATCACACTGGCCCTTCTTATTTCAACCCCACGTGTAATTTTAAGGAGTGAAGGTGGAAAAACAACAGAAGAAGTGAGAGGATTTGGGGTGGGATAGTAAAAAACAATCATACTTCAACCTCATTTTTTATTCGCCTGTGAAAATGATAAAATTGATTTTGCCACCAGCGTGCTGTTCTAGATCCGTCCCCGAGAAAAGCAAAAGAGAGGCAAGATTTTGAAAATGCATGGGAAGGGTTAATGTATTAGAAATGGATTCATCTACCTTTGGTGACTTGTAAAGCATTGAGAATGTACGGGGAGTTGAACCAGTTCCTTGCTGCTCATCTAATTGAGAGAAAGAAAGATAAGGAGAATGTGTGTTGCAAATATGATTTTATGAGATTTATAAGGTGTTTAAATGAATACCAAATCTTAATTTTAAAAATAATTTTATTGTATACAAAACAAATATACAGAAGAGTTTGTCTCGATTTATAAAAAAATACTTTTTAAAAACATTTTTATCACTTACTTGCCAAACACTCTCTTGTTGTAAGGGCATATGAACAAATGAAAGGACTAAAAATTTTATGATAAAGCAGTAGGTGGATTAACCCTCTCACGTCCGTGCCTCGTATCAAAATGTAGGGAGTGATTTGAAAATTCTAAATTATATGAACTAGATTGAAAAATTTAAAACTCGGTCGTTTCCTTTTTCTTTTAATCGAGACCGCAATTCCTAGTTCGTTCCCCATCTCCAGTGAGCTCCGAGGCTATTGTTCTCTTTCCCCGGGATAAACCGCCAGTTGCTTCGCGCTTCGAATGAGAAGTCTCACAACGACCAGAAAAGGATAAACATTTCAGAAATCTGGATTCAAACATGAAGCTCTCAATCAAGTTTCAAGACGACCCCTTGAACGACGATCAACACCGGCAAATTATGACAGCGAAGGTCCCCACCACCATATTCAACCAACCCTTCCTTTCTGGTGTCGCAGCCACTACCACCAACTCGGCTTCTGATTTCTCCTTCTCCCTCTCCACCAACTTCCCTATTGGTCCATCCCTCAAGCTCTCTTACACCCCCACAGCCACCAACACCGCCTCCCTCCCTTTTTCTCTTTCCCTCAAATCTGGCTTAGGTATTTCTGGTTCTCCTCGCAACTCCCCTCTCGTATTTTCTGCCAGATTCTCTCTCTCTCCTTCACACGTCCCTGTCCCAACTTTCTTTCTTCACCTCAAACCCCAATTCGGTCACTTTTCTTTCGATAAAACCGTCTTCTCGAACCCTATCGCCGATCAGATTTCTGGGTCTGCGTCTGATTCTCGAGAGCCCTCAGCAGTACCGTCCCTTGATAGAAGTGAAATTGGAGGAAATGGGTTGGGAGATGGAAATTCTTGGTCGGGTTGGAAGGAATTGAAATTGGAACCTTGTGGGGGAAGAGATGAGGGTGCGAATTTTACACATGTGAATAACTCTGAGGGTCAGTCGAATGGAACAATTAGGTCTGCCTCTGAGAGGTTTTTGGTGGCAAGAAATAGTAAAAGATCCAGTTTTTCGTCAGGAATTGCCGTTATGGCCAGGACGGCAATGCCAGTGACCAAAGGGCTATCATTGAATTTGCGGTGGGGTTTGAATTTTCCTGGGAATATGGGATTGGAAATGCCATCCTTGACTGTAAACAAGATTGGGTTAGAGTGGGTTACGGAAGCCAAAAAGAATAAGCCGAGCATGGACGGTTCTGGCGACGATTTGCAGTTGTTGAAGGGCACGTATTTTTCGATGCAGAGAGACTTGGAGAGTGTAGAGAAGGAAAACAGGGAGATGAAGAATTTGTTAGATGAGATGAAAAAAAGGGTTTCAACAAGAAATCACGGCGAGGAAGGTAATGGTACTAGGAAGAAAGTTTCTCAACGTTCTGGCGAGAGCTCTAGTGAGTTTGAACGTTGGAGAAGCAAAAAGAATGCGAAAGAAGAGAAGGTACAAAAAGAACCAACGAAGTCTCATAGTCTGGCGAGCGATCTGGAATCGGAGCTGCAGAAAGCCCTAAAGATTGCTTCCTCTTAGTAAAGGTAATTGCATCTGCTATTCAGATCCTTTCCCTGCCCTAAAATGTATATAAAATCAGATTTTGCTGTCTTTATGAGGGCAACAATCGTCAATTAATGATACTTTATTGATTTCGTGGAATCGCAGTGAACAGAATAAATCTTGATACGCTAATAGTTAGGTGATATGAGTTGATTTCACATTGCACTGGCATCACTAATAAGCCAGAAAGCTGCATTATGTTATGCGTATTGAACTGGACACAAGTGATTGGCTTCCCTGTTAGTCCAATGAAAGAGGAAATTCTTGATGCAGAACTGATGCACCAAATGGCAGAGTAATTTTTAGAATTCCAGTTTTGCAAATATTGATGAACAGTGTGAATGATGTAAATAAATAATAGAAGATGTAGAAAAGAAACAGGTTCTATTGGTCACATTTGCTACGAAGTATTGAAAATAAGAAGTAAGAATTATGATTAAAATTAAGAAAAACCATTAAAGAATGTTTAGTATAAGTAATTTTTTATTATAATCTCATGTAAATGGGATTAGAGAATACCATATCTTCTCACGGTATTCTTCAGTTCACATGTATGGATTTGTCTAATTCTAAATAATAAACAATCACTTATACTAAACACTCTTTTAACATATTTTTTCAATCTCAACTTCAATTCTTTTTATTATTTTTAATGTTTCATAAGAAACAGAGTTCTATACTATCTCCTCTGTTCCTCTTTGCCTCTGCGGATGTTGAGTTTTCGGAGCTTACTATTTTTGTCGTAATGCTTCGCCAGTATTCCGGTCAAGTATGCAAAATGCTTGTTTAGGAAAGTGTCCTTTTCCTCTGGATAAAATCGCTGTTATACCTTTCATGGGGATAATGCTTTCCTAGTACTCTTCAATATTTTGCATGCTTCTATTTACTTATGATAAAGGAGGCAGATTTTATCTCCAAAAAAATAAGAAGGCAAATTTTTCTTCTTACTTACACTGGGTTTTAGTGGATCGCATTTATTGCAACTTGATAACGTTGGCCACTCATATTTCTGCCTAATTTGAGGCCTTAGAAAGTGAATCCACCTGCTGGAAATTAAATCCTCTGCATCATGACAGCGGAGCTTCTTACGGCCTTATATTTTTTGTATCAATGATCCTGATTGAGTTGGGAAAAAGAAAGAGGAAAAAAAAAAAACAGATTTCGGGCAGACTATGCAGCAAGAACTTGAAATTCACATGCGTAAATTTTAGAGGGAAGCTTCAGTCTCCAAGAATCCAGACTCTGCACCATTTTGTGAGGGTTTTGCTCCCATCTAACTGTCATCTACTCCCTCTTACTATTTTTTATAAGTTTTAAATAATTAATTTATGGATAACGAATAAATAGTTAAAATTACTTAAAAATAATAAATAGGTTAGAAATATATTTTTATTTTCAAATATGTTCTTATAATAAAAAATGATTTTAAAAAATGTACGGAACATGTGACAAGAGAGAAGTAATTAAGAACAAAATTGAAAAAATATATTAAATATTAAAACAAATTTAAATTAAAACTTATAAAATGAATTACACATCACGTCTTTCTTGCTACCGTAGTTGGTTTGGATAAAATCTTAAGGTCAAACAAACAAAATGGTTCAATGACAAGCCTTACGATACTTAATGATACCTAGGCTTTTTAATTACCGCAAATTAATGATACTGATCACTGTTCACTGTTCACGGTAAAGCCTCATATTTTGCTTGATCTCCATGTCTTTGTTTTGATTCGAGAGTTCAGGTTGCTCAAACTTCAGTTAAAAGAAGGCGCAAAATTGGAATGTCGTTTTTTCTTGTTTTGTGTTTTTTTTTTTGGCCGGGGACGGGGTGTGTGTTTTAACAAAATCGGTGTGTCTTTACTCTTCAATGTTTTGGTGTTTTTGTTTAGATTTAGTTCGATTAACTCAATGCTCATGTGTCTTATCATCATGCTTAACTTGCTGCAACCCTGTGCATTGCCACGGGAAGGCGGAATTTTTAAATAATTATACTCAAGAAAAACAATGAATAAACAGTTTCATTATATTTTAATTACACATTTTGAAACATAATGTCAGTAAAAATAAATACAAAAAATGTAAATATAATGTGAAGATATTGAGTTATAATTATAATTTTTTTAATCAAATATTTTCTATTGGCTTAGTATTGTTTATGAATTATATTTGAACGTACAAAAGCTAAAAAAAATTGTTGTATTAATATTTATGACAAACAAACAACTTTTTTATAATCACTTTTCATTAAAATTACGAATTATTTTTAAAATTGTAATCTACACCACTCAAAAATAATTTTTCGCAACCCAATGACGTCATGATGTAATTATTTTTTTTGGCACTTAACATAATTATATTGAGAAAAGCTTTAATATGTCAAAGTCTTGATGGCTTTTTTTTTTTCAGCTAAAGCATAGGTATCATCTTATTGGAGACAATTCCATTCGAGACACTGTTTGACACTAACGCTATGTTTGGCTCGACGGAGGGAAGGGGAGGGGAGGGATTTTAATCAAGGGAAGGGGAGGGGAGGAAAGGGGAGGGTAGCTACAAAGGGGAGGGAGGGAGGGGGGGGGGAGGGAGGGATTTTAATGATCTCCTGTTTGGATTGATTGGAGGGGAGGGGAGGGAGCAATTTTAATAATACCTTATTTTGTTCTAAAAAAAAATTGACTATTTTAGCCTCATAAAATTTAAATGAATTTTCTCACTTTTTATTTTGTTAAGATATAACTATATATTATATAATACAATTCACTAATTTTGATTTACAAGATACAGTCACACACTTATAGAATATCAAGACAAAAAGTCACAAGTGAGAGAAAAGACCTTGAAGGTGAAAGAAAATACCAACGGCCTCTTAGAATTAGAAGAAGAGAAAAAAAGTTTACAAATGCTCACTAATTTTGGAGATAATTATCTTAATAACCTCTTATTAGATGCTCAAAAGAACTCTATTATGTAGAAATGTTTATGATTGATTAGAGGTTAACAAATCGAAAGGGCATATAAGGAATTAAAATATCATCTCTCACCTCCCCTCCAAAAAACCCCACTTTTGGAGGGGAGGCTAGAAGGGAAGGGGAGGGGAGAGAAGAACCCCTCCCCTCTTTAAAAAACATCTTAACCAAACGAGGGGAGGGGAGCTCCTCCCCTCCCCTCCTAAAAAATTATACCAGCCAAACAAGGGGAGGGGAGCAACTTCCCTCCCCTCCCCTCCGAAAACCCCGTACCAAACATAGCGTAAATGTGAACACTTCTTTCAGTGAGAGGGATAATGGTGAGGTTCCTAGAGGATCCATTGAAGGAATGGTTGTGGGCTAGAAAGCTAGCTTGCAGCCAATTAGTTGAAAAGGGCTTAATCTTTTTTGGTATACAAGGGCATAGCTTTTGATCGTACCAAAAAAACCGTCTTCTATTGTCACTTGTCAGATTGCCCACCATCCCATCACAGTTCCGGCGTCCTGTATCTTTCTGGCGAATGATGGCGTCCTCGGCCGGGGGAAGGAGCAGCAGAGAAGGAACGGCCAAAGCCGTGGTGGCCGATCAGATTTCTCAGGCTGTGCAGTCTACCTCTAACCTCCTCCAACTCATGCAACAGTCTTCTCCTGCCCAGTCCTCTCCCTTTTCCTCTTTGTTTTTTTTGCCCCCCCCTCCAGTTTGTCCTCTGTTTACGCTGTCGAATTTGGTGGATTGAACTTGTAAATAAGCTCGTATGTGCCCATTGTATCTGACAATGAACTTGTATTTCATTGTGACATGAAGTTCTGTGTCGAAGAATTTGTTCGTTCTTCAGAAGAACTTAGATTCAGACCAGCACAAATAAAATAATACGTTATTGATATTCTGAGTCTATGTAGCTACTTCTGTAAATCACGATTAAAAGGTTGCTTATAGGCTATTCCAAACGGATCCTAAATCTCCCTATTGCATTGCATACGAGCTACTAGATCATTCTTCCCATGTGACAACATTCAAGATTTTGTGCATTTCTATTACAGGTGTGGCGCCCCCCCCCCCCCAAAAAAAAAAAACACAAAAGCGGTCAGCACAGAGATAACGCTAGCATTATAAACTTCCTTTTTTTTTTTTTTCCTCCCAAATTTCTGTTCCTTATTCTTGCTTGACTATCACGTTTCTTTTCTTTCTTGGCCCTGAGCACTATTATAAAAAACCCATATTATGTTTTCAGAGGACTTGGCAGTAGAAGAGTCCTTCTCTGGTGTGAGTTTAATTTCATGCTAGCCTAGAAACTGATGATCAGAAGAATATGCTAAATACTCCTGTCATGGAGGTTTACTGTTTGAGAATTGATGCTCCGATTGCTTAGATTCCTGGAAAAAGAAGCTTTTTATTTTACGAACAGTTGCTGAATTTATACGGGGGGTGATTGAAACGAGGCATCAGATGTCCTCATTTTCGTACTTCCTCCTCCACTTATCTGTTGGCACGTTTCTATCAACTATGGCAGATTCTACCTTCTGATAATCAACAGCCTAAAATTTAGTTTAAAACGACTCAACTTAGTTTGTGTTGTTGAGCTTATGCCTTTTTGCACATTATTGGCACATGTGTGTTTTTGTTCTGTATGACAATGTTACATTATTTGCAGGCCCAACTCGTCAAGCTTCCCAAAAACCTTTTGGCAAAGGCCTCTACAATCAAGAATACAGAGCAAGTATGTTTATCTTCTACTGATGGATAAGCTTGAACAACTCTCGCAGTTTACTGTGATAGCGTCATTGTCTCTAGCCTTTTCTGCTGCAGGTTTTAGGCCACATGCCTGGGGTAATTTCAACTCTTGATGCTCATATGGAAAGTGGACTACGAAGGTCTGAACTTCATTTTTATTGAGATGTTCAGTACCATAACTTTGAACCCAGGATACATATAAAATTCTCATAAGGAAGCATGAAATTAATGTCACCAAGAACTGTGCTCGATTAAACTTTTTCCGAACTCAGAGTGACTGATCAAATCATTTCAACTGCGCAAATCCATCATATAGATTAAACTTTTGCAGTTGGTAGGATATTATAAACGTTGATATATTGCTAATTATGCATATTTTGAGCCACAGCGATAGGGCCTAATAATTTGAGTGCCACATGATTTTTGCGCCAAAATTTTATGTTCCCCACATAATCACGTGGTGGACTTGATTAAGTTTAACTTGAGTTGCAACTCTTTACAGTGTTCCGCACTTGAAGACTGTTGTTCAGTTACTTGCAAACATGGAAAGCTGTCAGCTTAGTCCTCTCTCTCAAGCTCATCCTCCCCAGAAGGTATAGTGGCTCTAAGTCTCTGGCTGCATTTGTGCATTCTGATATAAGTGGCATAGTGAGGTACGCTCTGCCATGCTTCCAAGTTTCAGGTTGAAGCATAATAAACATTGATGGGAGAGTCAAAAAGTAAAAACTAGAAGACAATTTCAACTGGGAGCTCTGGGACTATATCGACACTTCCTGTTTCCATTACTTTCCACACACACAAAACAAAAGGAATTGTGAGATTAACTTGATTATTGCCTTTGGTGCTGTACATGACACTTCCTTCAATCTTTTTCTCCTATATTAGGAGCGTGAGCCGGCAAACCAACCTTAAGGTATGGAACAATGGTGAAAGTGCTGCAGGCTTTGTGGCCGTCTTATTGGGAGCCTCACCCTTAATCATCCAATATTTTTTGGAAGATTTGGAAGTTACACTTCGATTATTATGCACTAGCTAATCAGCTATGTTCCATCTTAAGGTCTTCCTGCAACTCACAACTTGGGGAAAAATGTCCTAGTTTCCGAAGTTTATGGTATACTCGTGCTCAACTGAAGAAGCTTTGTTTTTTTTTTGGGCAAAGCTCAACTGAAGAAGCTGCCACTTCCGTTCTGTTGTATCAAAAATAAATAAATAAAGAAGAAGCTGCCAGATGCTATAACCACTGTGTCCCCTAATTACGTGTTGTAGATCATGTCCGGAAAACTTGTGTCATTGTTAGGCTGCTGAGAGATACAAGTGCATGTGTACGTACATACGGACATATATGTGTATTCAGCTTTCATTTATATTATAAATAATTTGATGTCGCAAGCTTCGCTCTCAGTAGTCACTACATTTTGTCCCCTTATTTGTAAACGGCATGACACGTAGAAAGGTTGGGGAATGGCAATCTGCGGTCGATATATTAATTTAATTATAAATGCAATTTGGGGCTCTACATTACTTTTTCTTTCTTTCTTCTTTCTTTCTTCTTTCTTTCTTTTCTTTTTTTGGCCTTCTGGGGTCATACATTTCGAAATTTTAATGGATGACCGAATGTACTTGGCAGGGAATGTTAAAGGCTGGGAGATTAGTTGCATATTATCATATAATTATTTTTTTTGGTCGGAATTATCATATAGTAGTTAATAGTAAGTTATAAAAAAAAAAAATGAATGCCGAGTCTTTATCTTACTTTTCTATGTTAAAACTGAAAACATCAGTTATGAGTAACTTGTACAGGTAAATGTTAAGTTTTTCTATTATCAGCTGCGCGCGCTCGCACAAGTCCAAGGCACATTCTATTGGAATATTTATGCTTCTACAAATTTGTTTTAGATTGATCAAACATTAAACATTATGATTTGATTTTAATAATTTAAATGCTACTCAATTAGTTATGAGCAAACGCCAATATAAGACGGCATGGGAGCAAAATAATTAAATTAGAATTCAGTCTATAATATTACTTCCGATCTCAATTATAAGATTCGTTTATAGTCTACAAATAAAGTTTTATAATTCAGACTGAAGGTAGTATGTTATTGGCCATGATATTAGACAGCATATGCCGATAACGCTAAATTCATATTTAGGTCTTATGTGTTGCTATATGTCCAGTAGAAGTTCATTGCATCACATCAGAATGTTTCAAGTTAAGCGGTAAAAAAAAAAAAGCAAAGATTTAAATTCTCGCTACAAGAAGAGTTCACATTTATATATTTAATGGTATTTCAGATAGCAATGTAATACTATAGCTATAATAAAGAATCATGATGATGATGTTGAATTAGGCACAAATGCATCCTCCATGGTACAATTGGGCACAATCATTTGGAATCTAAGGACAACCTCATCGCTCTTATTTGTACTTTCACCGAACATGTGGGACAATGAATAATTGAGGGCAAGTTTGTTGGTTTTTGGACTATGCTACGCCAATTGATAGATTTCATACCATTCAATTCAATACCACTTGTTATAAGATCTCGTTTATAGTTTATAATAAGGTGTTATAATTAGGACCGAGGATACTATGTTATTGGCCATGATATTGGACATCATATGCCGCTAACGCTAAATTCATATTTGGGTCTTATGTGTTGCTATATGTCCAATAGAAGTTTATTGCATCACAACAGAATGTTTCGAGTTAAGGGGTAAAAAAAGCAAAGATTTAAATTCTGACTGCGAGAAGAGTTCACATTTAAAATTTATTGGTATTTCAGATAGGACTGAAAGATAGCTATAAATAAAGAATCATGATGATGATGTTGAATTAGGCACAAATGCATCCTCCATGGTACAATTGGGCACAATCACTTGGAATCTGAGGACAACCTCATCGCTCTTATTTGTACTTTCACCACCGAACATGTGGGACAATGAATAATTTAGGGCAAGTTTGTTGGTTTTGGGACTATGCTACGCCAATTGATAGATTTCATACCATTCAATTCAATACCACTTATTTACACTTGAATATTTACTTAACATTATGACAAGACATTACTACATGGAAAAATCATTGTGATTATTTTTGTATCTAAATTTTGGCTCTTTAATAAGGACAAATCATTAATATTCATGTTCATTGAATAGTTAATATTGAATTTATCTTTTAAACCAATTTGTTAAGACATTTACATGCATTTCATAGGGTGCAATGTTAGCTATAAGCTGAAGTTCAGATATAATCAATACTCATTAATGTTATGAATATTAAAAGAAAAAATGTAGTAAGGTATGCCTATGCGGTTCATCTCCATTATATAAACGCATGAGAGTATGAGACCGCTCAAGATGTGCATGTGTTTTTTCTTCATATGACCACTAATATTTACTATGTAAAATTCAAATGTTGAAAATCAAATTTGAAAAATAAGAAAACAGAGTTGAATTCAAATGTTGAAAACCAAGCTTCATCGTTGAACATCGACTTCTCCATACTAACGAAGTCAATATCGTTAAACTCAAATTCAAGTCCTTACGAATCGATAAAGCCCGATATGTTGAATGATATCAAGTATGGAAATGAAAAAAATGACAAAACTAAAACTCAAACTCAGTTAAAAATATAAAAATATATAGTGAGTTAAAAAAAGCTACTCCTCCAGTCCTTAATATAGGAACTAATTATTAAGTTGGTTTTGGTCTTAAATATAAGATTCATTTCTCATTTTATCAATTTTCTCTAAATTAACTCTATAGATACTCTCTCAACCATAATCAAGTAAAAGAGTGAGATGATGTATTAAAAAAGATAATTATGGTATTTTAGGAAAAATGTGTTACTTTTCTTATAATTAACTAACTTACCTAACTTCCTTAATCTAATCAAATTAGTTAAATGTGTCTTATATTAAGGACTGGAGGAATATTACTTAGGGAATGGGGAAAATCGCAGTGATTATTTTCTCACTCGAATTCTGGATATATTCAACGAAGACAAGTAATTGATATTCACGCACCATGAACATGAAACATTAAAAACATGTATCATGAAAATAAAACATTAAAAAATGTATGGAGAAAAATCAAAATAAAAGACGAGGTTTCCTAAATGCCTAAATCCTAACAAATACATTTGTTGTCGCCGTGTGGCATGTGAACCCAATATTTTTGAGAAAACAAAAAAAGAAAGAAAATGGAAAAAAAAAAGAAGGGATCAAAGGACGGGGTGATTGGCATTGGTTCATGAATATATTCGGGCGCATCACGTAGGCAGATCCACTGAATAAATGCTAAAAAGGAGTGAGAAAAAGGGACTCAGATTCGCAATCAAGCGCCTCCCCTTTTCCACGCTTCCTTCTTGGACCCAATTTTTTGTATAAATTCCAATGGATTGGAATTGGAGACCTACAAGGTGACTGATTCTCTCTGCCGGCCCACCCAACGGCGCCGTAGCGGCTTTCCTCTTTCCTTCTCGGCGACACGTGAGAGTCCGAATCTCGTGGAAGAACATAGACCTGCCACACATCATCATCATCACACAGAACCAACGAAACTGCCTACTCTCTTCTCTTTCCTTCGCTCCTAAGGGCCAACACTAGCCCTAGCTTCCTTCCCTACCTTGGCTTCTCTTTGCTCCGCGAATCGCATGGCTTCTCACTCCTTACTCCTTCTGCCTTCTCCTCCTCACTCGTCGTCTTCGTCTTTGGCGTTTTCTTCTTCTTCTGCTTCCTCTCTGTTTAACGCCATCAGTCTTCAAAATTTGGCCTTCAATGAGTCCCGCTCTCCAATCTGTGCGCCAAAGTGTGTGGTAAATTCAATTAACGCCTTCATTTCTTATCGCGTTCTTTTCATACTGTTACATACACGTTTTTTTCGAATTACGGGTGTTGTAATTTTGATCATTTTAATTTCGGTTTCGGGATTGGTCTGAGGGAGAATGATTGGAGTTTAATGGAAACAGGAATATGTTGGCTTTATACAATTCCGGTGAAAATTTGAAAATTTAAATACTGGGTGGAATTAACTTTTTATTTGAAATTGTCATGTTAACTCTCTTTGCAATGACCCTGCAGTTCTCTTTTTCTCGCTGAACAGAATGATATTTTCGTATCAATATTTATATTCTGGCCAAAAAAGTATCAATATTTATATCCCCCCGCTCTGCTCTTTTAGTTGATTTTTGTCTTAAATACATAATGGGTCCGAATGCCAATATAAATGTAATTGGTATAATGATCATTGATTTTTTATTTTTTATTAGAGATGTGACCTGCCCGAGCCATCCAATTCTTTGAATGGGAAGGCAATCATCCCCGTTCTGAACGATCGGACGCTGCCCAAGTTCTTGGAATCAGCAAGGATGGAGAAAACTGTGAATAGAAACAGCAACAGGTTGAAATTATTCTCTGGCACAGCCAATCCTGCACTTTCCCAGGTGCTTCTACTAATCCATGTTTACCCCCATTAAGTTGTTGACTTGTTGTGCATGGTTCGATCTTTACTGTCACTCTCGGCTACGAAATAGAAAGTCCTCTTTTTCCTCTCTACACAATATCTGTTATTGCCATGGGACTCTATTTATTTTTATTGTTACTCTACTTGTGTCTGCAGGGAAAGCTAATTCATTGACCTAGTACTATAACACCTTGTTTATCTTTTTGATAAAACTTTTTAGGTATCTGTGAAACTGTGAAACTGTTAAAACTGTTAAAACTTTTTAGGCTTTTAGCACGACAATGGAATATCACAAACCAATTTTGAAGTAAATCTGCTGCGTGCTACTTCTGAGTTGATTGATAACTTTGTTCTGCTTCAATTAGGAAATTGCCTGGGACATGGGATTGGAACTGGGGAAGATTTCCATTAAGCGATTTGCTGATGGAGAAATCTACGTCCAATTACAAGAGAGTGTTAGAGGATGCGATGTTTATCTTATACAGCCAACATGTCCTCCTGCAAATGAGAATCTCATGGAGCTGAAGATAATGATCGATGCTTGTCGTAGAGCATCTGCCAAAATATTACTGCTGTGATTCCATATTTTGGATATGCCAGAGCTGAGATAAAGGCAAGTATTTGCATTTGACTGATGTATGTTAATTTTTGGAAGTTAATCTAGGTGGTCCCTGAAGCATGCAAGTAGCTATTCAGTGTCTTTCCTTTTTTAAGTTTTAATTCAATGGAGAAAAGATTTTCCGTCTTTTCTGTCTTATTGAGATACTTCCACTGTTGTAGAAATGAATATGGCTGGTCTATGAAGTAAATGTTGCAATATTTGCTTGGTGACGATGCTGATGGGCTTATAAGTTGTGACAGGGAGTTTGTTAATTTTTCTATTCTCTTTTCAGACACAAGGCCGAGAATCCATTGCAGCCAAACTTGTTGCAAACCTTATTACTAAAGCTGGGGCAGATCGTGTTCTTGCTTGTGACCTTCACTCAGGGCAGTCTATGGGGTACTTTTATTCCTGTGGATCACGTCCAATGTCAAGTAAGTGAATCAGAATAAGTGTAGTTCATCTCTTCAAAATTACAGACTTACTACTAATACTTTCCTTTTGGTGTCGACTAGCCTGTGATTCTTGATTATCTAGCCAGCAAGATGATAAGTTCTAATGACTTGGTGGTGGTCTCACCTGATGTTGGTGGTGTTGCAAGGGCACGTGCTTTTGCTAAAAAGTTATCTGATGCACCCTTAGCAATTGTAGACAAAAGGCGTCATGGACACAATATAGCTGAGGTAATGACCTGAAACATCTGTGGGATGTTTTTTATAATAATTTCTAAAAGACATAATTCAAACTTTTGAGTTAGATATGCAGACATACGTGTATTAGCTGTGTTATGTTGGAGAATGATTGCAGCCCATTTTCTATGTTAAAGATATTGTCAATCTTTATACTTGTGTTATATTTCTCGTTCATTTTGCATGTTATTGTTTTTCTTATGCCTTGACATGCAGGTGATGAATCTGATTGGTGATGTAAAAGGAAAAGTTGCCGTTATGGTGGATGACATGATTGATACCGCAGGTGATGAATCTGATTTAGTGCTTTGAATTGACTTTTGAGACTAAGCACTTGATAAGTAAAAATGTGACTACTATGAAAATATAGCGAGTGTAAATTGGCTTTCCTAATTGAGAGGCATTTATGATGTTTCTTTTTACTGCTTAAGGAAGCATGATAGTATTGTGATTTTACTTTGGCATTTATTGACATGTACTTAGTTGTCACTGTGATGAACATCAGGGACCATAGCTAAAGGCGCGGCACTATTACATGAGGAGGGAGCCAGGGAAGTGTATGCATGCTGCACTCATGCTGTTTTCAGGTAACTTTGTGCCCTAATTATTTTCGTGCTGTTCTGCTACTGCATAATATGATGCAAACAAGCAAGCATTTCAAATTTTTCACCGCCTAATTCTGAAACGTGTTTAGTGATTCATTCTTGGTGCTGCTAGTTGCGTTCATGTTAAAAGCTTTACGTTTGATTCTGAAGCAGCAGGGTTCATGTTTTGCGTTGTGTAATTTTATTTACAGTCCTCCTGCGGTGGAGAGGTTGTCGGGTGGCTTGTTTCAGGAGGTGATTGTTACAAACACGCTTCCAGTTGCGGACAAGAACTGTTTCCCCCAGTTAACTATTCTTTCGGTAGCAAACCTGTTGGGTGAAACTATATGGCGTATCCATGATGATAGCTCTGTCAGTAGCATTTTTCAGTGACTAGAAAGTACTACTCCGTGGTAGTTGATTTTATTTAATCAATATAACCCGTTTCGTTTCTTATTTAATTTTGAAATGTTTTACTTCACTCCAAGTTGCCCCTATCTTTCTTTCAAGCTATCATAACGATTGCTGAAAGGTCAAAAGTTAGAATCTAAATGTAATATGGTGCCTTGGTTAAGAAACTTATCCGGGCAAGCGAACTGAGATTCTCAGAAATTAAGCCTTTAGCTGCTGGGATGACGCATGTGAATTCAAAATCAAAGTAACAAACAAGATACTCATTAAAAAAAAAAAAAATCAAATGGGTGTAACGGATGCAAGTTCAGGGTATCAATTTCGATGCAGAAATCCAACAATAAACTATATCTCTTGTTTTCTGAAAATATCCGAGGCGTCGCCTTCTTCTTCTCTATTTTTTTTGCCTTTTTTTTGTAATATGGTGCCTTGGTTAAGAAACTTATCCGGGCAAGCGAACTGAGATTCTCAGAAATTAAGCCTTTAGCTGCTGGGATGACGCATGTGAATTCAAAATCAAAGTAACAAACAAGATACTCATTAAAAAAAAAAAAAATCAAATGGGTGTAACGGATGCAAGTTCAGGGTATCAATTTCGATGCAGAAATCCAACAATAAACTATATCTCTTGTTTTCTGAAAAATATCCGAGGCGTCGCCTTCTTCTTCTCTATTTTTTTTGTCCTTTTTTTTTTTTTTTTTGCTTTTTTCAGGCCAGGGGCTGGCTTTGTCCTTAGATTTATCCAGAAAAAGATAATTACGCTTAAGAGCTTTTTCCAATATAAATTTAAATTATGAAATTTTAACAGCTATATTTTCACAAATGAAAATTTACTTGTTTTCTGGAAAATATCCGAGGCGTCGCCTTCTTTTCTACTTTTTTTTGTCCTTTTTTTTTTTTTTGCTTTTTCAGGCCAGGGGCTGGCTTTGTCCTTAGATTTATCCAGAAAAAGATAATTACGCTTAAGAGCTTTTCCAATATAAATTTAAATTATGAAATTTTAACAGCTATATTTTCACAAATGAAAATTTACGCTATTTTAAAGTCATGAATAATTTGACTCAATTCAAACTTTTTGCTGGAGCCTTAAAGCCAAGTGTGAGGCGGCAAAAAGTTTTAGCAAATGACAAAATCCACATTCTTTTAATTTTTTTGAAAAAAGCAAAGTAATAACAATAGGAACTGTATGATGTGTACGTGATGGATGGAATTGGAGAAAATGGGTCTAAGGCTGTGTTTGGATACACCCCAAATCATGGTTTGGGAATGAACACTCAAACACCCACCCAAAAACCAAAATCATGGTTTTGGGTCAAAACCATGGTTTTGGCTCCAAAACCATAGTTTGGAAAAAGCAAAATTTTTTGCTTTTGGAGAAAAGAGGGAGAGTGTGGGAGTATAAAATATGTATCTTGTTATTTTTTTTATAAACATATTTTTTACAAACATATTTAATCTTATATTTTAAATATATATACATATTAATTAATTATTAATTATATTATCTTATGTATTATTAATTAGTGTAATAAAAAATATATTATTAACAATTTTATTCCTTCAAATTAAAATATATCATAAAATCTATTTTTCTGTAATTATCATATTAACTTATGTCTTTTTTTTAGTAAATTGTATATATAAAAGTGCTTCTGATAACAACTATCCAAACACTCTCACTTCTCAAAATCACTTTTTAATAAAATCTATTCTTTCTAGAATCTATTCTTCCCAAAATCTATTTTCCAGAATCACTTTCCAAACCACGGTTTGGTTTCGTCTAACACATCCTAAATCTAGTCTCTTGGAGTCGGTTTGAAAGTTGGAGCCAATTTTCCTTTTCGGCTTCAGGTATGGGTCATAAAGCCCTAATTTATATCTATAAATTGCCGCCGAGTAGCCAACGCCCGGGCGAAACGAGAGCTTGCGCTGCTCAAAAGGCGAATGCGCCTAGTTTTCCTCCTGATCTCTCTGTTGTTTTCCTCCCCTTTCAATTCTTGGCTCTTGCTTGTTAAGCATGCAGATTTTGGTTTATCATGGCTAGGTTTGTTACGAAGCGAATGAGAAACACAATTTGAGTCTGTGATGAAGTTGAAACAGTGCCGGAGGCGGGTCTCCTATGAGCTCGTCGCTGATGGCGCAAATATCCTCTAAGAAGTTCTGAGCTCAAGTCTTTTCTCATGCTTACGCTTTATGATGTATATTTATCGATCGATCAATATAGGCGGTGCCAGTATGCTTTCCTTTTTCTCTTTTCTTTGCCTGATCTAATGGTTAAATATTGGGGCAATGATTTCGAAGCTCTTGGGCTTGGATGCGAGAGGAAGATAGAAATTCATTAGTCTGTCAATCCACTGATATTTGTGTGATGTGAATATGCATCCCGAAGGTTCTGATCGCTTCCTCCGTCCCACCTTTCGATCCCACCCCCACCCAACAAAAACGCCCAAAAGAAAAACAAGAAGAAAGATTTTACTTTTAGTTTTAGATCTTCGGTCCAATTGGGTGTTAGATTTGAACGATGATGATTAATTTTTTTCAACTATACGAATGTATGACTTTGTTTCTGTTTTTGATTTCAAACGAGAATAAGGAGATAAAAATAGACCTTTAAATTTTTTAGTAGTAGTGTTATGAAGATTAAATAAATTAGTACTGTTTCCTTCCGACTCTTGTTATACTGTTTCCTTCCGACTCTTGTTATAAAAACTAATTTTTTAACTGTTTTTTTAAACCGTACAATTAGTAAAAGAATCTTATAATCGGAGATAGAGTAATAAGTATCAATTTTTCATATCTATGCGTAATATGTTTTTCCTAAAAGTGCTAATTAATTTTCAACTTTAATTCTACCTCGTAAATCCATTTTATATTTAAGGAACAACACCATTTTAATAAATATGGAAGATAGAGATGATTAGTGGCAGGATCAAGAGAATGCTCTTTAAATTCACACACACAGCGGAGCGGATGGAGTATTACTCTTTCTAATTTTCCTTCTAGAAATTCAAGGCCCGTTGCTGCCAGGAATGAACTGTGTAATTAATTTGTTTTTATTTTAATGCTCTTTTGATTTTATCCCAAAAAAAGTCAAACCCTTGACTTTATTCGTTGTAGTTCTCTTTTTTAATTCTTTGATTTGAAAAACGTAGTAAGAAAAAAAAAGCAGGTCTCCTTCACCTTCATTAGTTAATTAATGAAAAATGCTAACATTCAGTATAATTAAAATAATAAATAACTCTAATAATTTGAACAGCTCCATCGTCTCATGAAATCTTTCGACAATATTAGGTTGTAAAAAACAAAAAACAAGAAGAAGGAGATATAAGATATCGGGCGGTTTCCCACTGAACTAGTTAATTTTGCTAAAAATTTGATTAGTTAAAATCTGTTGTTTGTATTTATTTCATTAATATGATAAGATGGTAAAAATTAATATAGCTAGGAAAATTAATTCAACTTAAATATAATAAAAATTTCTCACATATAGAAGATTAACCATAAAGGAAAATATTTTACTATTTTCATGATTGTAGAAAAAATGCAAAAAGTTAAAGAAAAAATTAGGAATTCAGTATAAAATCAAAAGGACTAAATTTATTATTCTTTAGTAGGATTAATATAATGACAATTTATTCGGGTGGAGTTTTCTCATCCATAAGAATATCCAGCAGCATATATAAAAGTAAACACATTTATTGTGGCTACACCTTGAAATGACATAAGTGTTCTCCCCATGACCTAGTTATGGCAGATGTGGACCAATAATTACTTACAATACAATACAATTATCAATTATTCTTCTTCACTTTAATAAATGCCTTAGAATTATTGAGATTCGCATCAACCCTTCCATTCGAAAGTGGTAGCTTCTTTTTCCAACAGCTATCACCCAACCTGAAAATCGCCACTGAACAGAAACAATCCTCCAAACAAGATGTTTGCATTCTTCTTCAGTAAAAGGCCTTTGAAGCACATAATCTGAAAGTGGCCAATCTGTGTTTATCAGAACCTGAAAGTCATGTAGCCTCCTATCTTCTTCACATCCCTGTGTGAAATCTGGCTTGCAACTTCCATACGCATCGTTTGGATCTATCAGGGAATACCCTTGTGGACACTGGCAAATTGGCCTTTGTGATCATTCAAATCGCATATGCTATTGTATCCACATACTCCGCTTCCTGCACTTGCCAGACTACTTGTACATATATTCTCCGGTTGAGACCAAACAGGAATCCAACTTTGTTTCTGATCTGAAGAATTCTTATTCTTTGGATATTTGTAGAGAGAGAAAACCCCGTCAAAATTAAGAGTTGCTCGGAGATAAAATCCCGCGGATATGTCATTAGAGGGAGTTTTTCCACGAGGTGAGAGGCTCAATGTTTCATTGTCGTCTTTCAAAACATACAAGTCTCCTGATGGATCAAACACCAGTAAATGACCTGCGCTTGATGATTTGGATACGACGGTGCCACTTTCAAAGTAGTTCTCATTTGCATACCCAGATGGTAAGTTTACTGAGTAGAACACCAGATTACCATCTTGTTGCAGAAAGATCTGGTACCTTCCCGTGGAGAAATTCGTCTCGAATGTTCGAGAAAAAAAAGCTTCCCTCCCTTCTCAAGAATCTGGGTTGGCAACAAGGAATCTCTGGGATCCTTAAAGGTCTCCCAGACAACCTTAAACTTCGAATCTTGAAGTGCCAAGTTTCCAGTATCATTCAAAGCAGCCAGAGCAACGCCAGACACATCAATTACTTGTGATTTCCATAGCTCAATGCCATTAGGGGAAGTGAGAACAAAGCCACGATCGGAAGTAAGTTGTACTTTGGAGCCTTTTGGTGCAGGTTTATTGCCATTAGCGTACCAAACTATGGTCTTGTCTGGGATTTTAGCATACCAAATCGAAAGAAGGAAGAGATCATTGTTGTTGATGTCAAGTGGGTGAAAGCCAAAAGAAAAATCTCCAGAAGGTGAAAGCAGCCATGTTGAGTAGCCATTTCCTGCTGACAGAGAATCTCCCACAGCAACAGTGCTTTTGGTTTGGGCTAAGGCATTGAAGGGTAGGAGAATGAATATGAACAGCACAAGGGGAAGAAATCGGAAGGCCATGGTTGTATATAATATGAAGTTTGATTCAATGTTTGGCTTTGATCCTTTTTTATGGTTAACAAGGTCGTGGAGTTAGGCTACATATAATAGCAGATGGATGTCGGCCGTGAACGTCAAGTGGGCAAGCTGGACAAGTTTGAAAATGGGAGAACGACTTTTTTTTTTTGGTCAAAAATGGGAAAACGACTTGAGTTGAATGGAGACATTTTAGGGAAACTAATGATAATAATATTCAAGACGAAATAAATAAATAAATAATTAAAATGAAAACAGAACAAATAAATTTATAAATTAACAATGCCCTTTGTATTGAAAAATTGGAAAATAAAAATTCAAAATATATTAATGGCAAAATAATTGTAAAAAAAAATTAAATTTAAGTTTTATCTTGGATAAATTAGCGCATGTTACCTATCACAATCGTTCTTTTAAAACCTATTTAGATTAAATCAAACAATTTGTTTTAAAAGATTAACCATGATAAAAAAGAAGAAACTTTAAAATTTTAAAATCACTATCATGGTTAAATGAATAAATTTATATTACGAGCAACATCGATCATTAACTTAGATCTTGGATTTTCAAAGTCCAAAAATACCATTAAATCATTAGTCCACACCAAACTCATATTTTCACACATACGAACTGACAAATCGTTTTAATACAAGTTATGAAATCTATTAGTCAAAAGTCAACACTTTTAAAAAGTGCCACATGTAGAGTCTTAGAGGTTTTTGGCCTTCTAACGGCCTTCTTATATCAGATAGTAGTAATTAAAGGTATTATTTTATAACATTAGAGTAGATGAGCTCTATGTGGCAATACATAACAAATTAGCACATAAAACAAAAGCAGGAAAGTTATACTGTAACGTACTGTTAAAAAAAATCAAAATCAATTAATTAAAATAATATAATAATTATATTATTAAAAAAAAAAACAATACCCAGCTTTCCACCGACTTTGGTGGAAAAGCTGGACATAGTCAAGAACAAAGAAACAAGGGGCGCAAGAATTAAATGGAGGAATAAAAAGGGGTGGCATTAGATTGAAGAAGGAAAAAAATGGGGGATGGGGTAGTTAGATGGTGAAGGGAAGATAGGATAAAAGAGGGGGAGAGGAGACGGAGGAGGAAGAGAGAGCGAAGAAGAGAGAGAGAGAGAGAGAGAGAGTGAGAAGCAGAGGAAAAGAGAGAGAAAGCTAAATTGCAGAGCACCTGACAAGTTTTGGGGAGTATTTAGGTACACAAAACTACTTCTTTTTTTATCAAATTTCCTTTATGAATATTTTCTATATATTTAGAGCTTTATATTATTAGTATCATTATCATGTTTAGAGAAAATTTTACCGTTTGGGTATGGAGTAAATATGGAGTTTTGACAATGTATGATCGTATAAATTTAAAGATACATTATTAAGGAATTTTAATCGGTTTATTTTTGGTTAATGATTATTTTGAGAATTTAAATTAAGATTTTAGTTGAAAATTTGTTATTTAAAGATATAAAATGTTTTTACCGATTAAATTTGAGTTAAATAATTTATTTGAGTTATTTAATATATTATTGAGGTTTTAATCAGTTTAAATATTGAATAAGTTAAAGATATATTTTTGATATATTTTTGAAAGCTTGAAAAATTGTAAATTGAGAATTTTGTGAAATTAGATAAAGCTACAGTTTGTTTATAATTTAAGAAGAAGTTGTTTGGTTTGAGGAAAAATTTTAAATGAGATTATAATAAATAATTGAGAATTTTAATATAAAATATTTAGATTTTGGGTAATAAAAATATATATACTTTTGTTAAATTTAAATAGCCTTATATGTAAATTATATTTTCCAAAAGAATATCTATTATAAATGCCTAGATTTGGGAGAGTAATATATCTATGTAATTTTGGTTTAGAGGGTAGTCTTAGAATTTTAGAGTAGTTTTGAAGTACCTTTAAGTTTTATATTAATAAATATTTATTGCAATTTTGTAGACCTTTGAGAATTTTGGAGTAATTTTTGTGTGATTATTTGTAAGCTAAAGAGTACAGGTAACTTTGAAAATTTTTTCTTATACATGTGAATTGTGTATGATTGTATTATGAATTTACTATATTTTTATATATTGAAATATAATATTGTGATTTTTCAAATAAATGTTTTGGTATGTTATTTGATTTTGTTAAGAATAATTGCTATTAATTATGATTAATATTTAAATATATTGATGGCTATAGAATTGTCATGAGTTGTTATTAAATAGTATATAAGTTTTATTGCTATCTTATTTTTAATATATTTGCAGACGTATTTATGAGGTAATCTTATTGTCATCTGACATGCATTGTTGGGCTAAGGATAAAAGAAGATTGCATGGATATAAAATTACCACGTGGTATGTCATCACTCGGTGCACAGTGGATGACACTTGTCAGGGCTCCTTCTTCCATGTTTTCCTTTGGCCGGGAATTCATTGGAGCTGTGGGACATGTGACACCTCCCTATTCACAAAGGAGGGGAGCCATAGTCCGAGTTTGAGCTCTATATCTTTGGCCGGATATATCTCTAGTATCAGTGAGTTTGGAATAATTCAGTAAAATGGATTAGTTCCTATCGGACTATGTGTTAGCCTATGACTCCAGTCAGCGGTATAAGGGTGGACGGTGATATAAGGGAGGCAACATATTGCATTATTTTTGAAAATATTGATAAAAATAAAATTGAGTTGAATGTATCAAATCCGCCATTTTTAATATATTTATATACACACATAAAAACATATTTTTGGTTTATCATATATGATTTGCTTGTATATGTTAGAATTTCAATAGTTACTGAGACGTTTGATCTCACCCCCTATATTAACAATTTTCAGGCGAAAGATCTAGTAAGAATCAAGGGAAGGCACCAATAGAGTGAGCCGTGAAGACTTTTGTGCTCCTCAAGCACATACTATGTTATATTTACATTTGCCATGACTGTAAAATTTTAATAGCTTTTTGTTGTTATCTCATAAATATTTTGAAATTATGACTTGTTTGAAGTATTAGAAATACATATGAACTTTGAAATGAAATATTTATCCCGTATATGGATATGATTATGTGAAGTGTTACATATACAAGCTATAATAGCACAATGTACCTCCGGAGTCTTCCCTGATGGGTTACCACCCGAACTATCACCTGAAAATAGTAAAAACCATGAGATGAGACAAACGTCTCAATAACCAATTTTTCAACTCATCATACATACTAACATGTGCTCGTGAGGTGTTAAGTGAGATAATTATTAAATCTCAATATATATATCAATGGGAATATAAAATATGTATATTCAAATAATCTTAATCATCCAAACCCTGATTATAGGACTAACACACAAGCTACATAAGTCTATCTCTTACTATAGAGAATCAAGTCAGCATATAGGGCCTATCTTACTCTTTGGAGCACAAATAAGTAGCCACAAATGTCTATCAATGTCTATCCCTTATTATAATACATTTTACTCTTTGCTATCTCACACTTTGATGGACGAATAAAAGGCCACAAAGGTTTATCCCTTACTCAAGGGATGAAGGAAGCCAACCAATGTATATCAATAGCGGCCTTACCACGTGGTAGGATAATACTCAATCCAAAATCCAAATAACAACCAATAATTCACAATAATCTTTTTTCAGTATAATCCACAAGATATGAATCATATATCTTTTTTAAACTTCTCAATCACAATTTTAAAAATTTCACAAGACAATTTTCATAGTTCAAAAAATATAACATATCTACTCGAGTTCCAAATAACAAATATTATTCCAAAATAGCAAAACACTCACAAAGAATGTATTAGCACATATAACAAGTGGAAAGTAGTTATTTTTCATCAAAGCAATAGAAAGGATTACCATAAGGTCAATCCTTTGCTCAACCAATAATTAATCTACACGATTAATATAACCACATATTAATAAAAGCAAATTAATTAATTAATTAAACTTATCTATATTAGTTAAATTTCTAATTTAATTTAATATTTATTCTAAATTTCCGCCACTCTCATAACCCAAAATTATGTATTTTAGAAATAATTTAAAATTTTCTAACAAATCAAATTATTTATTTATGACGTCCAAATTATTTACCTTAATAAAAGGGATTTTTTCAAAATTTTCGAATATAAAATTATTATGTTCTAAATCTTAAAAATCTCATTTTAAGTTTAAACCTCAAAATCAAATTATAAAAAATTCATTAATATTTCAAATATTTATAAATAAATAATCTAATCAAAACTTTAATGGTATAACTATCACATATATATTTTCATAAATAATAAAATTTTTAGTTAAAATAATTATTTTAAAACCTCCAATCACCCAATAAATAAAACTAAACCTATGAAAATCTTAATAATATGTTAAACACCTCAAATAAATTATTTAACTCAATTTTAATCCGTAAAAATATGATATAAATCATATATAATAGATTTCTCAACTAGAAAAATTAATTTAAGTACTAAAAACTAACAAATAAACAAAACTAAACCATTTAAAATTAACAACTCATTTATCTATAAATTTCTAAAGTTATCTATTACCAAAACTCAAAACTTATTTCTCATATAAGTCTCAAAATTTTCTTTAATTACTACAGTAAGACTGTCAATAAGAAGCTTAAAATATATAGAAAATATTTATGAAGAAAATTTGATAAAAAAAAAATTTGTGTATCTAGATGATTTTCAAAACTTGTATTACTCTTTAAAATGCTAAAACTTCTCTCTTTATCTGATTCTTGTTCTCTTTCTTTGTCTTTACACCCGCAAATTCTGCCTCCCCCCTCTCTCTTATTCTTTATTTTTCCAAGCACCATTCATTTTTTTCTTCCCCGTTTAATTCTTCTTCCTAAAGTCTTTCTTCTTCTTTCAATGCTATCTCCGTTTTCCACCCAGCTCCCAACTTTCAACTTTCCACCGAAATTCCGTAAAAAGTTGACTCTATTA